AACCAAGGTGAACACCCTTTTGGTGCAATCCATGGATGTCATGACCGGGGGGTGGCTGCACCTCCACCCAACACAGCCGCGCATTCTAGGGGTTGCTTTTCCCGCAACGCCGCAAGCACCTGTGCCTCCAACTCCATCGGTGGTGCACGCCGCGCCTCCGCCCTTCCCCAGGGAGGCGCCGGTTCCTGTGTTACCATCGCACAGGCCAAGCATGTCGCGCGGCACGGGATTGGCAGCTTTGCATCCCACGATGGGGCAACTTGTCCCTCTGCGCCCCATGGCGCCCGCACTATTGCATCCACCGGCTCCGGCCAGCTACGGCAACTCGGAGTCTGGGCCGTCCTCAATCCTGCAACCGCAGGGGTGACCCTACGAGGCGTATCACTGCGCTCTCGCAACGTATGGAACAGGGCAACCCACCAGCCTATCCCACCATGATCTTGTTAAGTCGTACGAGAAGATGGCTCGCGACGCCTCCTTTAATAAATTCACTGGCCAGGCAGACTCGAATTATCCGTTTGAGCGCCTTTGGTGCGATTTCCTGCCAGTCCATATTATTCCAGCCGCGCAACTCACGGACATCAAAAGAATTCAAGTATTACTACTTCACCTTGATGGTGAAGCAAAAGAAAACGTCGGCACATTTGCGTACCAAGACGTTAACATGGACTACCTTAGCGTTCTCCAGGTGCTCTTCTCCGAGTACGGGCAAACGGACGCGGTACGCCTTAAGCTCTACCGCGAATTTGATCGCCTTCCGGCACTGAACACACTCCCAGAATTCCACGACTACTTTAACAGAGTCGTCCAAATAACTGAGAAATTGAGCACAATTCAGACCGACATGAATTTTGTGCACCTCCGCGTGGGCCCAGTCCTGCGCGCACATCTAGAACAGGGTAATTACCTGGAAGTACTCCAGGCCTATACCGACCGCCACGCTCAGATGCCCAAGCTAGACCCAGTCTGGGCAACACGCCCTCATCGGCAGTACCAATTCATTTGATCCTACTTTGCGCACAAACTCCGCATGGCGGAGGCGCCACCAGTTCTCGCATTTCAGGGCACAGCGGCCCCGGCTGACGGCGCGGCGGCCGCGGCACCCACCGCAGCCCCGGCCGCGGCCCCACCTGCCGCAGCAGCCGCCGCACCAGCGGTTGCGGCCAACGTCAATCTGGCAAACGCAGCACCGTCGACTTCTAACAGGAATTGACGGCAGCAACAAAACAGGAGCAACAACAATCAGCGACGATCGTTTCGGCGAGGGCAGTCGCGTTCCCGCAGCCCCCCACGCAAGTGGCGGCGGCGCGGACGTTCCTCAGACCGACCACGGAGTTGCTCCCCAAACAGGAGGAACGATAACCACAGCCAACCACACCGCAATGATATTAACTCCTGTTGCGATTGGGACAACAACTCCCGGGACAATCGCCGGGACCAACAGGATCGCGGGACGTGTCCCTTCTGCGCCGGGAACCACACGGCGACCCGGTGTCACCTCTCTGTCTGGGACAAGCTGCATGCCATCTGCCAGCGTCGGCTCTGCAGCAATTGTCTCTCCCAGGACCACTACGGCAACAATTGCACATCGCCCAACAGATGCCGGCACTGCCAGCAGCCGCATCACACAACGACGTGCAACCGCAACCACCAGCGGAATCAACAGCCCGCACAGCAAGGAGGGCCCGCGGCCATTGCCGCCCCGGCCGTCCAACAAGCGGCGCCAGCAGCTCCGGTTGCACCACCAGCACTGGCAGCGCCAGCCGCACCTGCAGTCACCGCGGCAGCCCCAATTGTGCAACAGCAACGTGCCGCACCAGCCGGCTGACAACCACCTGCGGCCAAACGCCGCGTCGTCCTGGTCGTCTCCGCTCCGCGACCCGGGCCCACGTGTGCCTTCCTAGAAACGGCCGCAATCCGCCTGGAGCCTGAAGGGCATACAGCGTATGCTCTCCTCGACTCGGGGGCCCAGCTCACACTAATCTCCCGGGCCCTTGTCCAAAGATTCAACCTGGTCACAGAACCATGCCCGCCATACATCATCGGCGGCGTAGAACGGGCTACTCCCGTAACAGCAACAGAGGCTGTTCATCTCACTTACAGGGGGGCAGTGCCTACCTCCCCCACCTTTCAGACCGTGGCACTCGTTGTACCTCACGTCGAGCCATGGAAGGGTTCTAACCCGTGCGCCGTCCCCTGGTTAGAGAAATTCGACCTGGCGGATCGGCGAATCCTCACAGAAACTGTTCTGACCTTTGACATTGTCCTGGGGGGCAATGACCTGGTACCCTTGTACCGAGACATTGCACCTCCCATTCGGACTCAAGGGTTTCTCGGGGTGCCTACGCACCTCGGTATTGTAGCAAGGGGCACTTGGAACGCCCAGCGCGCGCAAGGACCAATCCTTGCACCCCGCGTCTGCATGNAAAAAAAAGCTTTCATAAAAAAAACCACTAGGTATAGAGAATCTTAACCATGAAAACCTCTGTTTTTTTCGCGAGACATATGATCTGTCATATGGTAAACTGTTGCTTTAATCTAATACTATCTTGTGATGTCCCGCAATTTCAAAAATTGAGGCAATTGAAGGAAACTTCTGATTTTGGAAAATAATTCAGCTTCTCATCAACGGTACCATAATTTAGATGCACATGTAGTCGTTCTCCAAATCCTTTTGCATACAATGATTTTGTAGGCATAAAATATACTCTTGGTCAAGTGCTGTATAGGGGTTCTCAAAATACTCGTCTACAGCGGTTCAATTCTCTCCACAGCAAAATTTTCGTGCGTCTGCTGAATTTGCTTGTCGAGAGAGTGCACCTGAATCAACTTTTTTTTTTTGTGGTTGTAGGATTCCCGGAAGTTGATTGAAATGGGATTTGTGCCTCTACATCAGGAGAATGACCTCAGAGACACATCAAAAACAATATTTCCTTGAAGAAATTTTCAGTATTCTACACAAGTTGATTCATGGATAATCAAATAACATTGTGATTAAAGGGTGGAGACCTTTCCTTTAAAGAAAAATGCGCGATATAATTTGCATATCCCTAGGCGATGGAATTCTCCAGAATGTGTCAGCAAGAAGCAGAGCTATTCCATAGCTCAATGTGGCCAGAAATGAATTACCCAGAGCCCAGCACCCAGCAGTAACAGCCCTTATATTGAGGCACACATGCATGTAAATTGGGCGCTCAACCGCCGGGGACGCGTTACTCATCCGAACGAGTCCCTGCTTGAAAGAGCAAGTCGCGGACGACGGGACGCCGCCACACAGACGCCGGCGAGAAGACCCATTTTCTGTAAAATCTCTCAGCGGCGGCGGAGCACCGCATATATACGTATCCATGTGCACTCTAACATGGATAAGCGGCCAATATTGGCCTGTGAGGTTTCTGCTGGTGGTTTGACGCGGTTGCCGATTTTAAAGGGTGTGAATGGTTCTTCAAAAAACCAAAAATGGCATGAAAAAAGTATCATGGGGAATAAAATTCTGCATTCTTCTATAAATATGTAGAAATGAAAATAACTCTGAGATTTATAAATTACAGTGAGACCCCCACATGCGGACACCTCCACATGAGGACAATTTGATATAGGGACATTTATTTTTCAATAAAAATTCATAAAAAAGCCTGACCTACGGACACTTACTTGACATGAGGACATTGCATGATAAAATTGCAAATACATTTTAGGATATTTAACTTTTATTAGGCTTGATTGCAAGAAACATATATTTCCAACCCCATGATCTATATGCAAGAAAATTTTTTTGATACTCTTCCCATCACTTTCCCATCCATTCAGCTAATTCAAAAAATTACCTTCAGCACAAAGGGACTTCCTTCTCTTTTTTGCAACTTGGATGTTATTTTTACAGATGCCAAGATTTCAATGAAATGTACAGCAGTATACTATTCAATGCTCCAAATGTTCTTATTGGGTTAAAAACATATTAACTTAATCAAATTCAAGTTGCAAACAATTTTTTTCATGGAATTCCAAAGAATATTTTTTCCATAAAACACCAATTTAAAATTATGTAATGTAAGTCTATGAGAAAACAAGACTTGAGTTACGGACAATTCAACTTCTGGACAAACTTGATGCACCAATTATGTCTGCATTTGGGGGTCTCACTGTTTACAGTTGGGCCCAACATGCAGATGTCTGGACACAGTGAAACTTTGGGACACTTAGAAATGGAAAACTCTGTCCTTGACATCTGGACAGTGACTTTTGAGACATGGACACTTTTCCAATGTTTCTGGAAAAATTGAAAACTTTTGTTTCTTGCTACATTCTCATATTTCTTAAATGAATTGAGCTACATTTATTCAGAAATGTTGAAAATGCATTTACTAATGGACTTATCGTAATTCATCATCAGAAACCAGCTAATGTTGTGCTTCTTTGTTTGGATTTTTTTTTCTTCGATGCAGTGTGCAAGCAGTACAGCTAGACCTGTTCTTGTTCTGTGCTTCTTAGGATGCCAAACAATCTGATTCTGCAAGGTTTACTCCTGCTGATTTACTTTCTGCACCTTTAACTTGAGAAAAAGTTCCATTGCATTTTTGGGGACTGCGTTCCTATTTTTTTTATGAACATGATGACCAATGGAATGCTATGGGAAATGAGATCCAATGAGTAACATTTCAAAGGACAAGATAAAAGCACCAATTACATCTGCATCTTTGGGTTCCAGCAATGTATGGTGCTAATTACATACAACTTTTCCATACTACCATCTGTAAAATAAGTTCTGTAATGTATATATTTTTTAAAGAAGTGAGCGCTGAAAAGCGGCAAATAAAGTGTTCTGTTCATTCATTCATAATTACATATCCCAAGATAGAAGTAAATTAAATCATTTTTGTGTGTCTGTTTTTTCTCCTTTTTTCCCCAGTGGAGATGTCTCCCAAAAACATGAATCTTGTTGGTGGGCTATAGGAAACATGAAAAATTGGCACTATAGCATATTTGAGTTGTTATTACTAATGGTGAATGACAGATGGCATTTTACTGGGGTTGCCAATGCCATCATCTTTAGGTAAGATTTGTTTTCCAAAATAAATCGGCAGTCGCCGACGAGGGAGGTGGCTTATTGGCGGGCATCTGAATGGGGTTTGACTGTACAGTATATGCTTTACTCTACTGTACGCTACTATACATGTCTATGCAGGTAGACAGACAGGCAGGCATCATGCATGCATGCATGCATGCATGCATGCATTCCGCACCAGGCCTACCCCTGGAGGAGAAACTTGCCTGGAGTGCGGGAAACCGTCACCACCACCCCCCAGGGGGATGGCACTCTTGCTAAGTGCCTCCAGGGCCCAAATAAACACCTCAACCCCGAGAGGAAATGGAGTCCCAGAGCTGTTATTACGCGCATTGCTCAAACAGGAAATGAACCTGCGAGGCGAACTGCTCTGGCAGAAAAAATTATCACCCGAAGCGGGAATTGATCCCGGGAATTTTTATCGCCTGTCCCCATCGTCTTGCTGAGGAAAAACGGGTCCCCGTGGGAGCGAGAGTATACTGTATACCTCTTTAAAAAAATAAAATAAAAACCTGGCAAATTTCTGGCCAAATAGCCCGAAAAATATCTCGGGATCTCGCCCTAGAGTAACGAACATCACCGGTTTTCACCCATGCCGCGGTTTTTCCAGCTGGAGCCAATGGATCGCGGGATCTTCGAGTTGCCCTATTATTCCAGGATCCCTTGATCCGCGTGCAGCAGGAACCCTCCGCATTGAACTCCATTTCCTAGCTTCCAGCAGATAAAAATCTCGGACTTGCCCGAGGATGAGTGAGTCCCTCCGGGTCGGGTTCGATCCGGAGTTATGTTTTATGCAGCCGCTATTTGGTTCTTTTATGGCACTCGGAAATCCTGGGCGAGCAGCAGCGGGTCCTGAATGCATACATGCATAAAAAAGGAGGCTTTCCCCGCGAAACAAGGGCAAAAGTTCGGGACGCGTATACACACAACTGGTTCCCGGCTGCTGGGATTAATGTTGAAATTGACTCCTTTATTCGCAGGCTGATCGTTGACGGGAGCCTGGGAAGTCGGGCCCGTGATGGCGAGACTTTTTCTCGGCCATGTTGCTCCAGCACTCGTGACGACCATCTTGCTCGTTACCTGCGTCAGGTGCGCTCTTTTGCTTGTGCACTATTCAACGAACCCCCATCCTGTTGTTGTTGGGTTGCTTGCTGCTCTTCTCTCGCATGCTGGTCTGGAAATGTCCTGCACTAAAAAAATAATAAAAAAGATACTTCTCCCTCTGCCGGCTGAGAAATCCTTGGTTCAGTAAAACCTCATCTCTTTCCCCCCCCCCCCCCCCCAACCTCTCTCTTTTTATTTTTATATACGTTATATTTACAATTGTACAATGTAATGTGGAGCTAGGGAATATAAACATATGCATGTATTTTTTTTCATTATGTACCGAAAACAAATACAATTGTACTTTCTTGTCCGCATATATGATTGGGGGAGTAAGAGTCTGTGACGTTCACTCTCCCAATTTAATGACACTCTTAGATTACCAGGATCACTTGATAGCTTCATACAATGTATCTTCAAGTATTCTTTGCTGAATTTTTCAATCAGTTAAAAACATCTGGGAACAGACTAAACACCTTGTGTTTTAATTTTTGTCCAAAAATTGCCTTGTACTGTTGTTATAGTCATCCTCCAGAGATGATAGTGATTTTCATGCATTCTGATTTACTGTGATTTACAGTGAGACCCCCACATGTGGACACCTTGACCTGTGGACAATTTGCCACAGGGAGACTTATTTTAGCTTAATAAATTAATAAAAAAGGCCTAACATGAGGACACTGACTCAACATAGGGACATTTTGTGATAAAACTGCAAATACATTTCAGGCCAAATTAAAAGAAACAGATATTTCCAACCCTAAAATTGATGTATGAAAATTTCTTGTGAATTTCCCTCACCAATTTACCATACATTTAGCTGATTAACAAAATTACCTCCAGCATAGAGGGATTTCCTTCTCTCTTTTTCTCTTGAATGTTATTTTTATAGAGAATGCCAGCATTTCTATGTACTGTACAGAGGTATCAGTATTCAATTCCCCAAATGTCCTTATTGTATTGAAATATATTGATGGAATCAGTGTAAATTAGGAGGCAATTTTCATTTTCATGGAATTATGGCGAGTATTTTGTCCATAAAAAAACAATTAAAAATGATATAATGTAAGTCTAAGGGAAAATGAGACTTGACTTAGGAACATTTTGACTAAGGGACCCTCTTGATGCACCAATTACATCCACATCTTTGGGTCTCACTGTACTTTGACACATGAGAACACAGAAGAACAGTAGCAATGAAAGCCACTACTGCTTTGTCTTTTTTTTTAAATAAGGGAATTTAAAAACTATTGGAGTTCTCCTCGTTCGAGCCACCGTCACTCAGACACACACACGCATTTACATCTAGAAATAAGAGAGATAAAGAAATATAAGACCCACTACTGATGTACTGTTTGATATGGACCAGTATGACAGAAAGAAGAATGGAATGAAGAAGAAATTAATTGCGGAAGAGGGAACCAGACGATATCTGGTGCCGGGGATCGATGATGTTTCCAGTTGCGATCAGGGAGTTTTTTTTTTTTTCGGGGGAAAAGTTTGCACGAAGACACGGATGTGTTTGGACATTTGGGTATGATCAGGTTTGTGATACAGTATTTTTTTTCGTTTTCATTATGTCTGTCCTCAGTGACTTTGGTGTCATCCTGCTGGTAGCCATTAATTGATGTACAGGGAAGACTTGAGTACCCGAGTTTACCATCAGGGAGTTTTTGGTAATAAAATGTCACGTATAATGTAAAAATGAAGAATTTCTCATCCTATAGGTCAGAACCTGGCGCGATTTTACCAACCTTCTTGCAAATCCGAGTTAATTTACACTTATTCTTGATGCCCTCTGTATCTTTTCTACAAAACTTCTTCGAAGCATTTGTGGTTTGCTTAATTCTCATGAAATAATGTGCAGTAATCAGGGTTTTACTCCATTTAATTCATTAGCTTTTATAAACATTATTAGAGATATGAATTTGCGTTCAAAAAGAGAAGACGTCTGAAATTTAAATCATGGTGGACGCTTTCTCTTCTATGATTGATTTGAAATTAGAGCAGGGTTCATCAGGGTATCACGGTCGATTGTAATTTGTATATGTAAGCTTCTACTTCAATCCTTTGGTAGGTTAAGTATAGGAAGCAAAACTAATATGTATTCCAGAAATTCGTCATTTAGAATTTTTGAGACTAACCCACAAGTCAGCGGATTCAAAAATTCCGAATAAAAGTTTGATAAAAAATGTGTGACGACTTCACGTCGAGAATCCATTATTGAATTATCCTAAATACTGTATATCTAATTCAATATTCCGTCAAATCTGAAAGTTCAGGTGTACAAAGAAAGAATTCGATAAGTGAGCTACGTTTTTTTCTCTCTCTCTCTATCATATGGCAGCCCTCTGAATGTTCTGCTGTGTTAACTGATCATAGGGGCTTCACGCGAATCATCTGATAACCGCACGCAAGTGGTTAACGAACGCTTTTGCATAATTTATTGTCTTGAATCGAAACGGGAATTCCGGCTGCTTTGATGGGAACAGCAATCCTAGTTTGACTCCTCGTGCATAATGTTGAAATTTTTTTTTTTTGAATTATATCCCTGAAGTTTCTTGAATATTCGTCTAATGTTAGTCCGTTCGGGATTTTTCCCCGTGGGATATTCTCCTTAAGGCCGAAGAAACTTGAATCGGACCGCGATTCTTTTGTTCTTCGTGTAGTCATTATATATGCATTCTCGCATTTACAAAAATCCCCCCTCCTATACGCAAAAATATTAATATCATAAGATCTCCATGAAATCCTTGTCGAACTACTGGGAAATTTCAGTTATGAGTTTGCAGGTGAAAGAATGATATTTGTTTGAGAACCACGCCTTGTGAATTTCCTCTGACCGAGCTGAAACTCAATTTGCTCTGCGTGAATAATCAGTAGAATGCTTATCTAATTAAACTAAAAAAATCATTATTATTATCGTGCAGATTATGTGTATATAGTCTTTCAATTCCATAGAAGCAAGACAGCAGATTATCTTCTCGTGTGAACCATACGCGACATCTATGAAACCCAACTACAATACATCAACAAAACTTGGATCGGTTTTCAAATTTCATCAAGGAAGGTGGACAATTTTAACGGTCACAGTACGGAATAAAACATAGAACTAAGCCTTCTTGCTAACCGTGCGTGCAATCTTTTTACAGTATATGAAAGGGGACAGGTGCGTCAATTAAATTTTCCATGAAATGAACGCAGGTGAATTGATTTGAAAGCAAAGCTTCTACAGTTCACCTTCTTGTTCATTCCTTATCGACCCAAAATGAATGTTCTTGGCAACCAAATGATCAAAAGCACGCGTCACAAAAAAAAAATCATGAAAAAAAGGGTCTAAAAATGAGGCCCTGGCGCTAAACGAACTCGTCGTTGATGTCACAACTGATTATGCTGTTGCCTCGGCCTCCATCCTAATGAAGACGTTACATGCAAGAAAAAAAAAACACACACACACATACACATAACCCCGATGGACACACGAACAGGTTTAACACGTGCACAAAAAAAAAGATAAACGAAATGATGGAAAGCAAGCCCAGAAATGAGATGCGATACGCAAAAAAAAAGAAACAAAATGTCGCACGCAATATGGAGAGAATCGAAAAAGGAATCCGTGTTCCAGCCGAAAAGCCATCGGCGAGGGCACAAATCGATGATGCCTATCATTCCTTCTTGTTGATCGACCTTTGCCAAAAACTGATTATTTTCGTCGCATTTTATTTGTCAAACACAAAGAAATACATTCTGCTGGGGGAACGGGTTGCTTCATTCGTTTGAAGCTTCGCGGCTCCCAAAAATTTACGGTCACCAGCAGTGACAAAAAAATGAAGAAAAGAGGATGAACTGTTCTTCAATCTGTTTATAACATAAAATATCTTGATGTCTAAAATTGTACAAAATTTTTAGATTTTAAGAGGCGTATGCAAAAATTATAAGCTACAGAAGTAAGACGGACCTATTGCTATGACTCGGTCGACTTAAACATTTAAAAAGTTTTTTAATTATATAGGGAAAATAACGGAAGTTTTACATTTGTTATTATTTAGAGGTATGACTAATTCATCGTACAGTATTAGTGAAATTGTCTGTCAGTCAAGTAAATTCTTAGACAGAACTCAGCAAAAATTTACGTTATCTGAATTTATTCAAATTCTGCGAATAAACGATGAACATTTACTTTGTTTCTAGACTTCGATGAGAGCGAGTAAAACACGTTTTATCTTATTTAAAATCGGGCATAAATGTGATGATGATTAATTCTGCTCATGTGCGACTCTTTCAGTTATTTTTGCGAAACAAATTTTAAAAAGTTGTTCGGATAGTTCGAACACTAGGTCACAAGTCAAGGTTCCCAAATCTGCTCCAATGGGATTTGCTGCTTGCTCGTATGGCTATATATTTTTTGAACATAATTAGAAAATTAAAATCGTGGTTTTGAAATGGTTGACACTTGGCTTTTGAATGTCCATAATACGGTTGATACTTTTGTAAAAATGTAAAGCGACGCTTAATGTGCAAGAGAGTCCATGGTGTCGAAATTTTTCCACTCTCATACCCTCTGATGCTTGCATATATACAGTGAATCTCGCCTTTCACGAATTTTTGCTTATAATTAATATTTTTTAAGGTTTTGTATTCCGGTTTTTATTGCTTTGTTTATTCTGCATCCACGAGAAGGATAGCATTGGCTCTTCTCATTAAAGCATCATGAGTATTCAACATGTTTGAAAGCGCTTCGTCCATTTTTGTCTGCTTTTTGAAATTTAAGTTTTATAATTTTTCTTTGTTTCCCCCTCCTGCTCGGCACTGCTGTAGGTCCAGACATGTCTTTATAATTTGCCAATTATCCTCTGAAGCGAGAAAGGTTCCGTAGAATCCCATTTCTGGTCAGCGGTTGTGTCGTGAGACTTTTTCTTCAAACTCGCGAAGCTCGCTTTTTTTGTGGAAACTTTCAGAATGTTCCTGGATGAAATATCACGTCCCCATAGGAGCTATCGCGAAACCTTCTGTTTCTGTCTCGTGAATCAAATCATTTGATCAGGAAGGATCAAGGGGGGGGGGGGGGGGGGCGAACCAAAGAAAAACGGGCAACGGAAGAAGGCGGTGTCGGAGGAAATAAAATAGCGAAAAAACATGGAACCGAGTCCATTTCTGCTCCCCATTTTATTTTCACCCCGTCCCCTCTATATGTCCGAGTTGGGTTGCAGGAAAAGATAAATCAAAACAAGGCGCAGGTGGAAAACAAAATGTATATACGAATACGTACATAGAAGGGAAAAAAAGAACGAAAGAAAAAAGAAAAACCAAATTTTCAGCCGACGAGGCCGAGTTGATTGACGAACCGAGGCAGGAATTAATCGTCACTGCCGTCGTCACACGTTGCATCGCTTGCAGAGGAGGAGGAGGGGGGGGGTTTGTGGCGACTGTTTGGGTTATCGACAGCGACAGTGTCGAGTTCACCTGCATGGGGTCTGGCCTTTATCAGAGGGAAGTTTTATTTTTGACACACGGGTGTTTTTATTTTTTTATATTTTTAATGGAAGATATCCGTGCCTCGGACATTGCCCGACTTCCTTCCTTTAAGAAAATCCTTTTTCTTCCTCTTTTGAATTGAAAATTTATGAAATTTTTTTCTTCTTTTTTAAAATTGCCGGAAGAACCGATGAAAAAATTCCGAAGTTTATTACTGAAAAAAAATGGGTCGATTCATTCTTCAACAAGTTGAGTCATCTTTATATTCTGTCTTGCTGATTTTATTATAGAAAGCCTCCATTAATTGGCCAAATTAATGTTGAGGCATCCCATGCCGATCTATTTATTGATGATTGTCCTTGACAAAAAATATTTATGGAAAATATGATTGCATTTTAAATAAATAAATAAAATCGTGCTCCTATTTCCGGTTTAAAGACGCTAAGATTTTTTAAAATGCATTTTTGAAGCGTTTGTGAAGATTAAGTCAAGAGTTACTTTAAATGTCTATGTATTAGGAATGCAGACAGTTTTTTATTTTTTGGTTTCATAACACGAACTGTGTATGGAGGTCAACTCTTTCTTCACTTCAGCTTTGAATTCGAAGCAGTTTCTGCAAGGAATGTGTCGAAATTTGAAAATAAAGAAAGCTAAGGGGAAAATTGGTGAAAAATATGAAATTTATTTCACGGGATTTAAACTTCGAGGCATGAAAAAGCGGCCCTTCAAAATGTTTTATACCAGCGGCGGCGGTATTGAAAAAAAATACACAATTTCGTCATGTTCGATACGATTTTACTTTTTCATGACATAATAACTGACCCAACTCAAAGAACCTTACAGAATGAAGTCCTGTGCTAAGACCAAAGATACGCTTCACAGTCTATAAAAGAAGCATATGTAAAAATAAGAGTAGATGCACAATGAACTTATAGAACGACGCGCCATCAGCTGCTGAAAATTTTTCAGTGAAACCCGTGATAATGAAGGAAATGAGTGTGGGGCGATTTTAATGATCACGGTGACATTTTTTACTGTTGACAGGTGTTTTCTCCTCTGAACGGAGTGCGTGGATTCCTGGACGCGACCGAGTTTGGCAACTGGATGAAGTTTGTGCGGAGTGTCGACAGTAACGGACGTGAGCCGAACATGAAACCGATTCTCATTTCCGGAGAGGTAAATTGGGATTTCTTCATTAAAAAAAAAATGCACACTTCTATCCCTAATATATTCTGTGCTAATGATAATGATCTTCACCAAAATTTCGGACCTTTCGGACCGACCTTTTTTTTTTTACCGGAGAGGTAAATTGGGATTTCTTCATTAAAAAAAAAATGCACACTTCTATCCCTAATATATTCTGTGCTAATGATAATGATCTTCACCAAAATTTCGGACCTTTCGGACCGACCTTTTTTTTTTTCTTGTTGAGAGAAATGCCTCGACCAACGAACTCCATGCCTTATTCCAATCGAAAGTCCGTTTTCCGAAATCGTTTTCTAACTGTGTAATTCGATGTTAATTTTTCCGAACCCGCAAAAAGATACTTATTGGATAACCCATATGCATTAATCATTTGTTCGATAAACGGTGTGTGAAATGGTCGTTCTTGATTGTTTTGAACACTCAGTCAATTTTGAGAGACTTAACTGCTGTACTTCGTTGCTCAAGAAAGTGCAACAGCTTCATTATTTTTGTTGTACTGTATTAGTTTTGTATGTGTGATATTAATTCCAAAAACATGTTACGTAAAACAAGACAAAAGCATTGGACCTTTCATTCGGGGTCATCCATTTTGATGCGAACTATTTCAGACCTCTAAAAGGCAAGTTCTTGGTGAACTATGAAAAGCGTCCATGCAATTCTTTTCCTTTCAAAAGCGTGAAAGAGTTTCAGAAACAAAAGTTGCAATCTTTAAAAACAATCAAGGAATTTGTCCTCTGAAAGTTTTCATCTGCTTGAAACCGCTGAATGGACACTGACGAAAACTGAACTTTTTTTCATAAATTCTCGCCACTTTTCAGCGTGAAACTCTTTCAATATATCTGAACTCCTTTTAATTGCTTCGGTTTTTTTTGTTCCAGATATTTTACGAGACTTTGCGAGAGCTTAAACAAGGCGAAGAATTGTTGCTTCCCCCGAAGGAACCGATTCTTTTGCAAGGATCCAGCAGATCAGCAACAAGGGGAAACAGTGATGAATCCGAAGGTATGTTACCCGAAAAATCAAACTGCTTCTTTTTCTGCGGAGATTCGCAAATTTATAAAAAGTTTAATACCGATATACCTAAAGCCATCTGTGTTTAAACCTGCTTTTGGAAACTCAGTTCGTAATTTTAAAAATGTTTGGGGAATGAACAGGGCTTCTTAATTTTCTACAGGAAATCTAACACTTGATGCGTATGTGCTTATTTTTCGAAAAAAAAAAGAAATCAACAAGGAAAATTTTTAATCGACCATTTTTTGATGAAGTCGCGTTCGGACACGACTCGTAATGCTCGTCGGGTTACATACAGGAAGCGAGAGCAAAAAACTGACAGGGGAGAAGAAAAAAAAAAACTGTGTGTCGGAGATTGAGGAAGTTGTACGGGAACTTCCGGAAGCAGTGGGGACTTGATGAGAAACTTCCTGTCGGCGAGTGTCGCGGACATCTGCCCTTTAAAACCCGACACTTCCTTGCTGATGTCACTCGTGCACGCGAAAAGGCAGAGAGAAAAAGAGGACGAAAAAAGTGACGTGGACTAATGATATAACCCTGGGTCTCGGGTTTCGCCTTTTGCTTTACCCCCACTCCTTTTTTTTTTTGCGTGTGCTTAAATTATGTTACCTCTTTCTTTTTTGACATTCAAACACGCAAGGCTCAGATGATATGCGGAATCTTTCAAACTACTGTATTATTATTTTTTCTTCTGAATGTAACGATGCAATATTCGTTGCCAATTACGAGTTTTTCGCCTGACTATCATTTAAAGTTAGATGACCTTGCGGAAGCACCCGATTTTCTGCTTACAGAATCCCGAAATTGAGCAGAAAACTCAGTTTCCTTTCAAAAGCGGTTTTTTCATTACTTATTCTCCAAAAAAAATTGACTTGTTTTTTTTTTAGATGACAAAACAAACGGGGTTGCCGATTTTCAATGAATGCTTTTGAGATGAATATATCGAGACTTCGGTGATAATTACTGAACTACTGTCTCTGTGATCTTACAAACTTGGTTAGGAATTTTTAAATTTTGAAAAAAAAATAATTCCAGGAAGAGTGGAATGGTCGGCAAACATTTTCAATTTTACATTAAGAAAAATTTGCAGGAATACTTATTTTGTACATAAGTCAATTTGCAAAATAAATTCAAAGGTACTGTAATTGATCAATAATTAAACGTCTTATTTTTAGGTACAATTAGTATACAGTAGTACAATACTTTATAAACAGTTCAAATATTATAAAATGCGAAGGCTATTATGCTCTTAGCTTCTAAAAATTAGAGGAGCTGATCCGCTGATTTTTGAATTTTTGCAAAAAAATAAAGCAAAAGAAAGATAACACGTAAAAATGAGAATATTCCTGTCATCGAGGCTTTTTATATTTTACCTGAATTAAATTCGTGCATTGAACTATGAAATCATTTTGCGTTTCACGTTATACTTTCCAAGCTCCACAACGAAGAAAACATTTTGAAAGGAAATTCGAAAAAAGATTTTGACGCTTAGAGAGGATCATCCAAAAAATTTCGCTCAGACGAGCAAAAACAAATTTCCCGTCATGAACCGTTTCATAAAAAGAATGTGTCCCTTGAATAAAAATGTCAAGGTGTAAAATTGTGGAACCTGCGGAGTCCGATATGTGCATACATTTCAGTTTTATGCCGACGCAACCTTGATGAAGCCGTCTGAATTATAAAAATTAAGAATACCCATTCGAGTTGCTCCGATTCGCAGTCTTTTTTTAAATTCCTTCTTCTTCTTCTTCTTCTTCTTGAAGTTTACCGGAAGGAAGTGAATAATTGGGAGAAATGCGCTTGTTCTGTTATCACTTGGCCCTCGCGGATAAGCGCTCAAAAAGTACCCTTTGATCATAATGTCTGTCCCCCCATTTCCGTTCGCTAAATGTGAAAAACCACGCAGTATTTCTTCCCGCTGTTTTATTTTTAATGTCCCATTACTTTTTTTGGGGGGGACTTCTACAGAAGGGTTTCTCAATCTGCTTTCGTGGGTCGCGTGAGTCGCACATCGGGCGGAGTGTGTGTGTGTGTAACGGGTAGGGTTTCAATTATCGCCAGCGGCGTAAAAACCGGGTCCAGTGGGGGGTGTGGTTTTGATTTATTCATTCATTCCAAAAAGAGGGTTTTCGTTTTGTTGCAGGTGATAGGGACGACACTGAGGAAGGCGAGGCTGAGGAGACTGTTCTCAAGTGCATCGCGTGCGAGCTCAGCTTCCAGGACTGCAGCCAGTGAGTTATATCAATACTCTATCTGTATCCGACTCCGAAAAGTAGATTTCACTTGAGCTTTTTTTTTTTAAATTACAAGAAACTTGTTCTTAATCTTGAATCAAAGGGTCTCAACCATTGCTCCACCGCGGAGCCCTCGGAGATCAGTCGGGAGTTCCCACAGAGGCTCCGCGGAATCACCAAGATAAAATAAAGGAGAAATTAAATCACAATGAACTTTCCAATTACCCTTTAAAACCGCTGAAAAATACAATTTTCTCGCAATGGATATTAAAAAAGTGTTCCGCGTTCTCTGAAATCAGGAAATCACTTGTTCCATATCCGAGTTTTCTTTTTTTTTTGGTTTTTATTTTGAAGCAAAATCACAGAATATTCTGGCGGAATACTGCAAAAAAATTATTCCATCAGGAGCAATGAAGGTTCAGCTGCAAAATAATCCTCACCCAAAGGTTCTTTTTTAGATACAGTGAGACCCCAATATGTGGACAACCCGACATATGGACAATTTGACTTTTGGAAACTTGAAAACCAGAAAAAATCAGGCCCAACATTCGGTTATTATTGGCTCGAGTTGGGGACACTTTTCTGGAATTTTCCCGAAAAAATCAAAACGTTTTGTTTTTAAATTTTGCTTTCTTTTGAAAAAATCAAGCTATTTACATTCACCGAATTGAAAAAATATGTCATGATTAATTTTGATTCATAATCAAAAGCAAGCTGATTTAGTGCTTATTTTTTCAAAGTTTTTTTTCGATTATCTGTACATATTCTGACAAGACTTTTTTTTCTTTGCTTTTTGATCTCCTTTTGATACCAAAAGATCAGATCCTGTATGTGATTTTGTTCTGCACTGTTGTTTTTTACAGCTAGAAGTCAAAGGAAACAATTTTTCTTACATTTTTTGAGGATTTATTTCTAATTTTTGACAAAAAGGAGAACCAATTAAATACATTAGCACTAAAGTCTAAGGGAAAATGAGACTCGACTTGGGGACGTTCCGACATCAGGACACTCTTGATGCTCCAATTATGTCCGCATCTGGGGGTCTCAATGTACTTTATGATTTTCTCTCGGTTGAAACGGAGTATCATTTCTTCAATACTGTAATTACTATTGCAGGTAATAAATATCAATCAAGACTTCCTCTATTCGAAGACTCTGCGCCGTAATCCAAAATTCATTGAAACTTCGGATACTGTATATAGTTGATAAGACTGCAGGGACTTCAAAAAGGGCTTTGTCAGCTATTTTTCCCCGTTGTAATAATGTTGGTTGTACAGTAACGAGATTCCTCGATATTAAGAGCTTGGCAATGAGTCAGCAAGGCCCAGAACCTCTTGCAGAAATTTAATTCCTGGGAATTTCTTGCTACATAAACCGAATAATGTTTTGTTGAAGACCTCGACTCGCGTTTGGCTTTCGTGCTGAAAAATCCGGTGGTGTCATATAGTATTGTACGTAGTTGTAAAACATTCTGAAATGTTTCTCATTTACTGAAAATTTTCAAAGGTTGGACCAGCATTTGGTTCAGTCGCATGGTTACACTCCTGGACAACATGCCTGTGACAAATGTGGACAGTCCTTCAGCTGGAAGCCGAATTTGCTCCAGCACCAGCTTGAGGCCCATGGGGATCGCAAAAGGTTCTCCTGTGAAAATTGCGGCAAGGTTCGTCAAGATTCCTATTATTCATTCTTCGAGGATACAGCGATCATAGGATTTTTTTCTTTTTTTTGCAAAACGCGATAAAGCACTTTGTATGGAAAGATTCCTTCCCCAATGCATAAATCAGAGTAAATTCTCGATTTATTTCCACCCTTGCTTAGCGCCACAAAATTTGCCACAACAAATTATGGCACTAATTTGTGGTTCAACTTTAAATGTCAGGTGGACCTCGATAAGTCAAACCTCCCTGATTCGAATTTTTTTCAAGTCCCTGTCTGAATTCCCTTAGAATCAATACATTAAAAACCTCCCTAAGTTTATTTTTTCTCTAAAACCTCTTTGAATCAAATCTTCTGAGGCCTTCTGCTGGTTATTATTTCCTTGAAATATGAAAGAGAAAATGGTTAAAACAAATGATTTGATGCATCGTGAAAGGAAGTGAAAGACAAATATAGCAAATGAACCCCTGCCTCCAAGTTCAGCAAGGTTTGAACTCATTAACCCTTGTTCGGCAAAGTCAGGATATACTTGCAAAATTTTGTGTCACTGAGAACTGGGAAATAAAAATTGAAACTTTTGTACAAAGACCTGAGTCGGGAAAAAGTACAACATTTTTTTTTTATCCAGCAGAAAATTTTGGATGAAAAATAAAAAATCCCTCACTGGTAGCGTTTTTTCCTGCATTCCTGGTATAGGATCAACAAAAGAGAATTTGTCTCCCGGAATTTTCCCAACTTAGGCCTTCTCAACCTGGGAGCATTTCAGCAAAATTGGGCAAAACTGAAATGCTCCACCCCCCAAAAATATCCCAACTTTGCCTCACAATGGAAATGAACCCTCTGCCGTCCAAGGGTTAAGGAGCAAGTTTATGCCCAGAATAACCTTATTTACGATTCCCCACACTTCTTTCACTTCTCCTCACAAATGAAGTGTTGTTTCCTCAACTGGAAAGCTCAAAAAATCAAAACCTCTCTAATTCAAATTTTTTTTCTGGTCCCTAGAAGTTTGACTTACAGAGGTTCAACTTACGCGTGGTCACAGACCCCCATAATCAATCAATGGCCAGTTTTTCTCCCCGATTATTTTAAAATTTAATTATTATTTTTTGTTTTTCTCCCGGGATTTTGTTGTGGGATCATCAGGTGTTCACCGACCCCAGCAACTTGCAGCGCCACATCCGGAGCCAGCACAGTGGCGCCCGGTGCCACGCGTGTCCCGAGTGCGGCAAGACCTTCGCCACTTCCTCGGGCCTCAAGCAGCACACCCACATCCACTCGTCCATCAAACCATTCCAATGCGAAGTCTGCTACAAGGCCTACACCCAGTTCTCCAACTTGTGTCGCCACAAGCGGATGCACGCGGATTGCCGGAACCAGATCAAGTGCCACAAGTGCGGCCAGGCCTTCTCCACCGTCACGTCGCTCACCAAGCACAAGCGGTTCTGCGACTCCACTCCGGGACCCGGGACCATACCCGGGGGAAACCCAGTCACGGGCAACCCGACTGCGTCATCTCTATTCCGCCCGACCCCGACTCCTCAAGGCGTCGTCCCGTCATCCGCCGCCTCGTTGCCTCATCCACTGCCGCATCAAGGACCACCGGCATCGCAGCAGGTGCCATCGGGTCCACCGCACCACGCATTCCCGTTCTACCCGCCACCCTCAGCAGCAGCAGCCACGCTGTTGTCTCAGTACTCGCTGCTGAACCACGGTGGTCCCCTGTTCCCCGGGATGCCGACGCACAAGGCGCCAGACAACTTCATGGCGCTCGCTGCGCTGTCTAATATTCTTCGTGCGAGTGGTGCCGCAGCTGCGGCGGTTGCTGCCGTCACAAACAACAACAACAACAACAACAACAACGGCAACAGAACCACCAACAGCAAGGACCACAGCAACAAAGATAATTCTTCGCATTGCACGGACTCGGCTCGTAGTTCCTCCGGGTCACCGCCGCCACCACAACCACCGCCTCCTCATCATCATCATCCCACCAGCAACGCCACTACTGTGAATAAACTCAGCATTCGAAGCCTGTTGTCCAACAGCGAAGAAGAGGATGACAGCAATAATATGAGCAGCAATAGAGGTCGGAGGGATGAAAAAGAACCAAACCGCGAAGACGACGAAGAGGATGATCGTGATATCGAACCCGAGGAGCGTGACGATGATGATGATGATGGTGATGATGATGAATTCAGAGCAAAATCAGCAGAAAGAGACGGAATGTCGACGTCATCCGAAAAAGAAGGACCCTCAGCATCGACGGATAGAACAGCAGAAGGAAATCAGATTAAGGAGGACGAAGCGAGCAAAAATGGGGATTCTTTCCCGCTGGATTTGCGAGTGGACGTGAAACGTGATGAAGCAGATGACGGGGATGTCGACGACGACGACGACGACAACGACGACAACGTCGATGATGACGACGATGATGATGATAATGACAAGGTTTCATCGAATAGCGTCATCATTGGGAAACATCCCAGGAACGAAAGCCCCGGAAACGAAGAAAAAGATGGCGAAACCGCGACGCCGTCAGAGTCGACAGAGTTGCCAATAAGTTTGCAATCGCCGTCGGAAGCGAAACGACAGCGATTATCCTTGCCTTCTGCTGGTCTGCCACCTTCGACACCTCCGTCAGTGGCCGCTGCTGCCAATGGGCACCACAATCACCACCACCACCACAACCATCACCAGCACCACGATATCCAGCAGCAACACGAGAGTGGCCTGAGATTCGGCGATTTGTTTGCCAGGCAATTCCCGGTGTCCAGTGCGAGCGGAGCCTTCGACTTTGCCAATCATGGTCAGCATAATATCCATCATCATAGTCATCAGCAACATTTGCAGCAGAACCAGAGTCAGCAGCAGCAGTCTGGGATGGTGTACCCAAAGCCCCTGCATCCGCTAATGATGGAGGCGTTGTATCCCGGAAACCGAACCCCGCTGTTCAATCCCTTTGCGAATTCGCAGGATCAGTTATTGGCACCCAGGACCCCGTTTCCTCATCACCCGCTCATGTTGAATGGCTATGTTCACCGGAATCCCATGGCGAGGTGAGTGCTTTCTTTGATTTACTTTTTTCAAGTACAGTATATGCAAATGAGGGTGGATACCAGACTTGGGCTTTTGCTAATTTGAAATGTACATTTTTTTTCACACACAAAAAATGATACATATTGACAGCCGCAGGTAGAAAATTTACCAAAAACCACAGACGAGGGAGCAACCTTAGCGTTTAAATTATCTCCAGGGAACACGCAATTTCCTGTTACAAGGGAAAATGCTTTCGATCACTTTTTTTTCTAAAATTGTGTAACATTTTTTTAGAGTTGACGAAGCTTTATTTAAGCTGTGCTTTTTGTCGTGTACCTTTTTTTTTTTTTTTGCTGATTAGAGCATTCAGAGAAAAATTCACTCGTGAAAACATTACAGAACTGGAAATGAAACAAGAAAAATGTTGCACAACTTCGCCGAATATTCTGCATGTTTTTGGATAAAAATCTCGAGCGACAGGAAAGACACGAGACACAGGTGCAACGAGTCTACTGTGATTCTTCACTGATGAAAATCAGCGTTTCATTAAAAAAAATAATAATAAATAAAACTGAGTAATCAGCGGGCGGAAAATAGCACTGAATCCAGTTACGTGTGCTAATACTGTATTTAGGTACATTCAAAATTTGCATTGTGATAAAAATGAAAAAAATGATGACACCCCGTGTGTTTTCTTCTTTTTTTTTTAAAGGTTTGAACTGCCGTTCCCACACGGGATGATGGGCGCCGCGGCGGCGGCGGCAGCAGCTGCGGCGGCCGCGGCTGCAGGCGTCCCTTCCCGGGACACCAGTGCCAACACCAAGACCCGGTCGGACAGGTACGCGTGCAAATTCTGCGGCAAAGTGTTTCCCAGGTCGGCAAACCTCACGCGCCATCTGCGCACGCACACGGGCGAACAGCCGTACCGGTGCCAGTACTGCGAACGGTCCTTTTCCATCTCGTCCAACCTCCAGCGACACGTGCGGAATATTCATCACAAGGAGCGGCCTTACAGGTTAGTTCACCGATGCTGAAATCTTGAAATCATTTTTCCCCCTTTTTTTATAATTCAGTGTAGAAAGAAATAAAATAAAGAAGTTCGTATGGACCGCTGAGCTGAGGGTACCGAACATACATTCATGAGCCGAGTTCCGCGTGAATTATAAGCTACTGTATTTCAACTTTTCTTCGTTTTTATGCGATGAATATTTTCAAAAATTTTATGATGGTTGAAATAAATCAGGATATGTGTTGGCGACGTATATCCTGGCGACGTATAAAATATTTAAATAGACAGTTGAAATATTTAAATAAGCAGTTGAAATAATTAGAGGAACAGTTGAAATATTCTAATAATCAGTTGAAATATTCAAATAAGCAGTTGAAATATTTAAATAAACAGTTGCAATATATAAATAAACAGTTGGAATAATTAAAGGAACAGTTGAAATATTTAAATAATCAGTTGAAATATTTAAATAAACAGTTGAAATATTTAAATAAATATTTGAAATATTTAAATAAATATTTGAAATATTTAAAAAAACAGTATAATTGAGAAAATTGACAAAAATCAAACAAACGGGAAAATTGATCTGATGAACAGAAGTATCAGATAAGGAAAAATGATTACTGTACTGTATAAGGAAAAATTCGCTCAAGTAAACGATGTACAGTCAATAAATGCTCAACTTTTTAAAATTTACAAAGTAAATCGTAATTAAAACATTTTTGTTACTTCAAAATACTTCAAAAACTCTTGAGAAATAAAATGTTCAATTTGAAGATTCTCTTTTTTTTCTCGCTCATCTCACGAAAACTCGCATTATTCGCCATAATCTTCGCCACATTTTATTCACATCGGCGGTTCGGAAGAAGGAAGCAAAGAAGAGTGACGAACCCAGGGCTCCTTTGTCTGCTTAGGTGTCACCAGTGCGACAGGACCTTCGGGCAACAGACGAACCTGGAGCGCCACTTGCGGAAACACGAGACCGGGGAGGCGACCACTCCGAGTCCCAGTCCCAACGGGTCGCCGGCGTCCCTCATCGGAGAGCCGACCTTTTGCGACGAGATCCGGTCTTTCGTCGGCCAAGTGACGGACTCTGGTGGTGGCAAGCAGGCCAATGACGACGATGTCGACGTGGACGACGTCGATGACGACGGCATCGACGAGGACGAGGCCGATTTTGACGTCGGCGGGCCGGACATTGCTGGGCGGCGGAGTCACCCCATGCCGCAATTCGAGTCCTCCCCGTCAGCAGTGGCGTCCAACACCACCACCACCACCACCACCACGCCATCGACCGTCACTGGCACCACGCCAACCAGCACCACCACTGCTGTTGCCGCCGCGGACTGAGCACACTTTCGTTCCAGCTATCTAGTACCAAAAAAAAATTTTAAAGAGAGCCAGAGGCAGAGAAAAAGAAAGAGAGCGATTGATCATGGAGAGAAATTTTTTGAAACGATTTCTCTGTTTTTGAAAGGAAAGCAAAGAGGTAAACCAAAAAGCAAAAAAGAGAAACAATTGTGCACTTTTTTTTGGCGTCCCAGTGTTTACTCGATCTGCACACTGCATTCACTGGCGAAGCCCTGATTTTATCGATCTTTCATGTTCTTGTAGGAATGGAGACATATCACCTAGAGCAAACATATCAGCTTGTTATTCTCGCCAATTCTTTAATGACTCGCGTAATTATTCGAATTTCAGCGAAATTCTGTACTCACGTGGCCAATAATGGAAATTAAGTTTATGGTACGCGCTTGAAAATAAAATGTGTAATAATATGGGGAAAATTTAAGTTACATGTTTCAATTGCCTCTCTAGCTTGCCAAAATCTGGAAAATGTGCATCTTTGGTCTTACGGAATTTTTTTGGGAGCGTTCGTTAAAAGTACAGTAATTTCTGCAACCAAATTTTTCAAAACTCCTCTCCTATGCCGTATCCTTGGATCACAATACTGAACAGATAAATTCTGATGGATTCCTAAATTGAATTCAGTTGAAGCAACCTTTCATGATTACTATTGTAAATTAATGATTTAAATTAAATAAATTGATGATTTAATCAACTGATAATTAATTAATGTAAATTAATGATTTCAGCTGTTTCAAATTCTTGAATTATGAATAGCTCAACATTGAAAACTGTGTCGTGCATCTTATGTGTAAGTGCTACTCGAGTGAATTAGGTAAAGCTTTTTATTTATTTCAAGGGGAGGTATTAGATTCCTTCGCATTTGTCTTGAATGTCAAAGAAAGCATGGTATTAATTGAACGTCATTTCGTAGATAACGTGCCACGTGAGTTCCAGTTCGAATCATATTTTTATTTCGAACTGTAGGTTCATCATACAGCTTGATGCTTTCATTTAGTCAGACTTCTAAAAAAATTTAAATTCAGCATGCTGAAACAAAATCTGCATATGTTGTCATGGCTTCAAAATGAGTGGCTCTGTTGGCCGAGTGATGTTTTATCCAGTAGTGCAGTGTGCGGACGCCCTTTATAGTCACCGAGTATATCCCTGTTTAAAAGGTTTAAAAAAAAAGCAGAAAAGGAGGGAAAATGCGAGAAAGACAGAGAGGGAGAGATTGAGGAAGAGAGACAGAGATTCAAAGAGTGAAAATGGCGCTGATCGTTGTAATTGTATGCGTGTGTGCGCGTATTTCAAGACGACACCCTCCCCACCCCATCAGTTGTACTTTATTCAGCACGAACTCGAGCGATTCTGATTTTTGTTTTTGTTTTTTAAGCATTAAGAATGTTGTTTTTTTTGTGATCGTTCAACTCCGCATCACGTCGTGCGCTGTGATACGAGCGAGAAACCATTTTGAAGCGGTCGACGTTGACGCATTTTGTGTGTGTAAGTGTGAGTGTGTGTGTGTGTGTAATAGTGACAAAGAGAGATTCTCTTCAGTCAATTGTAATCGGCACGCGATTCATTCTCCGGTGGCTTGCTTGACTGTATTGTTTTATTTTATTTTTCTCTCTCCCCCCCCAGCAAAATTCTCTGACGTTTACACACAACCCCCAAGCAATAAGACTGATGTTTTTCTGTTTATCGTCGACTATTTTTTTTTCGTTCTTCCTCGAATGAAACACACACACACGCGCGCAGAGGAAACGAGAAAAAAAAATGAATGATAAAAATGAGAGGCGAGAAGAGAGCGAAAGATGGAAGAAGAAGAAGAAAAAGAAAAGGCGTTGGATCCGATTCCGGTTGTTTTTTCATTCATTGCACCTGCGGGATTGTGTTTTTTCTTTCTACCTCCCCCTTTTTCTTTTCTTTTTAAAGTATTCTTCTTGTTGGTATCCAGGAGTGATTTCAGCAGGTTATAATCTGCAGGAAGTTGCTTCAGTCTCGCGCGGTGTCGGACACAGGAAAATGAACAGGCGACGCAGGAAGTGACGATAACGCAACCGTCGGACGCGGCCAACTCATATAGTCTCCCTTCTTTTTTTCCATTCTCCTGTCTATTTATCTTCGTTTCCGGACTTTCTAGCCTCTAGAAAGCGTCACGAGGGTCTGGAAAATCGTGGATATTTCGCCAGTAGCAACCGGACATAGGATTACCAGGCTGAATGTAATCCGTAATGTGACGGAGATCGTTATAGAGCAGGTCCAGAAAACCCTGACTGATGCGTGAAAGTACCTCGAAATTCAAATCTAAGTGTTTCTTAGCCTATATCAGTGTTCTTCTATATCAGAAGATTTTTGCCAGTCCGCGGGGAATTTTCTGCAACATAATTAATTCATTAAAAGTGGCAATGAAGTCTGCTAAAATTTTGAAAAGATAATTGCGAAGTTGAAATAATCTGATGATGAAAAAATAAAAGTCGGCTTTTCCCCCAACAAACACTTCGGACAAATTTTCGCATGCTGAAATAATTTATTTCAGTTTTTCAGCCCAAGGAACCTTTCTTCAAGCCCACCTCTCTAATTTTTGGAAGACATTTCCCTATATTGCTGCTGTATTTAATTTTTTGCAAAACACTTTTTAAATACCTGCCACAAACTCTTTCAAGCAAAACTTTTTTGTCTATAAAAAAAATTATGAAACTTTGTCAGTCCGCAGAGAAATGTTGAGGAATTTGCTGGTCCGCAATTTTTTATTATTTTTATTTGCTGGTCCGCAATCCTAAAAAGGTTGGGAACACTGGTCTGTATTTTATGTGAGGTCAGCAGAGCTCTTTCCATTTCAAATGAGTTAAGAATCCTGAATGATTCGAATTACTGCATTATAAATACAGCACCTTTCGTTTTACGATCATTTGAACCTCAATCAAATGCGTGAGTTTAAACGCATGTCAGAGCAGACATTGTCAAAATGACATTGTGCAAAAATTGAAAAAAGCTTCATATAAATGCAAACGCGCGAGAAATTCGTCAGTGAGATTCTAACAGAGGTCTTGGAAGGAGGTCTCAAAGAAACATACAACTACCCTTCCTTATAATGTAAGGCCATATTCATTAAAAATAAACACAAATAAAACCGCGAATCAGTCACATTAGCATTTAATGTGTGAAAAAAGTTATTAACGGCTTTTATTCTGCTTAAAATTACAGTATTTTCTGCAATAAATTTGAATGAAGTCGATATAGATAAAAAATAGTTTGCAAATATTGATAGAAATGTTGAACTAAGATAGATTCAGCGGTCCGTAAAACAAAGAAGAAAGTTTGAACTTCATCCCATGAGTCAAATACTGTACCGTAAATAAAAGGAGGTTTCGTCTGTATTCTGCGTGAAAATGTGAGAAAATTTGTGCGAGCAACTTCTCAAGATTCGCTCAATTTAACACGATGCAGGTATCAGTCAACAATATATCCGGTATTGTACGCATCATGCTCAATAAAATGTGAAAAACAAACTTGCGCTAAAGACAAAGTCTTCGAATTTCGTTTGTGAGGTTTCAAAATTTTGAAATTTTGTTCAGGTAGGAGGATGAATATTAATGACTTATTTTCGCAAGGAGCTATGCTTCAGCACTCACTTTAATTTAATTATATCCCCGTGCACGGTAGTTCCTCAATTAATCAACTTCATATATTCCAAAGGAAGTTCATAATCCAGAAAAATCTTCCGAGTGAAAATTTGGAGCAGTGGTGCATGAAATGGCTTTTTTTAATTCACGTCATCACATATCGTTCAACTCAGTCATCCGTGATCACGTTGAATGAGTTTTTTAAAATCCAGATAACCGGAAAATTTTCTTGTTGAATTCTTTAAAATACGGTATTACTGAATACAGTACAATAATTGACTGCAACAAAAACAGCGATAAACGAGGGAAGAATCCTCAACACAATCAATACCTGTATACACTGTACTACGAAAACTTATATGCTTTTTTTCATTGAAAAGATACATTCCCCACAGAGAATTGAATTCTTCCACGAATATCCATTTTAATATTATTATCATGTGAATCAAGGTTCACTATACGCAAAGTTTAGAAAAAACCGTGACTACTGAATCCCATTTTGAAAACGATCAATTACGTGAGACGTCGATTATCCGGGGTAACCCCGTACATGTTTCGATTCTTTTCTCGTGCGAAATAAAGAATTGAGCGCAATGCTGTAACTCTTGAGTATAAAATGCACAATCGATGAACCATAAGAGAAAGCTTCATGTTATGAGGATGTGAGAGATAAACCTGGGTATAAAAGAAAGGAAAAGGGGTATCGCAGTCCCGCAATTTCAGCACCAGAACCACGCAATCACCGTGGGGCATTCGGGAACTGTTCGTTAAAATGGCTCAGGAAAACTGAACCATTTAAACTGAAATTATTTGCGAGAACCAATGCAGGTATTCAGCAGACCTTCATCATGATCAATCAACGTTCTATAATGAATTTTCTCCATCAACCTTTTGAAATAGAATCTCCAGAAAATTAATCTATCGGCAATTGTCAAAATTTGAGAGAAAACCCCGCGCGCGCAATGCAAATAACCATCACGTGCTTACGAGGGTTCTAACAAAAGTTCTCGGAATAGAAATGAAAATGGCGTAAAATCGAGCTGAAAAAAATTATTCTTTAGGGAATACATATCCTTTGGCGCAAAAAAAAAATCAGCCCTGTAAAAATTGCTCAATTCATCAACAGCCGGCAAAGAATTCTGAGGGGAAAGCTGGGCTACAACAACAAAAACTACCAGAAGGGCACCTCATCTTTTGAGTGGAGAGCAAAACTCTGCCAGGGTAAATTTTGCAAAACATTCAAAAAATTTTGTCAAAAAGGGCTGATTTTTTCGTGTGCCAAATAATATGTTTTCCCCAAAGAATATTTTTTTTTCAGCTTGATTATACGCCATTTTCATTTCTATTCCAAGAACTTTTGTTAGAACCCTTGTA